TAGGATTCGATGTGTACCGGGGTATTTCTGTTTTCCATTAAGCGCCATCTAATGTCAGGGAGTGAATTTGCACGTTCACTCGGCTCATCGCCTGCGAAAATCGCTTGGGTATGAACACAAAAGATGCGTCGAAAAACGTCGGCGATAAGCGCGCGCGATAATCGTCCCAGTTGTGTACGAGGCTTAACATTGACAGAAAATAGCATAAAACGTGTGATTTGCATGCCTTGCACAAACCGAAGAGGCCACATTATTTACTTTTGAGCTTGAGCTGACCAATAAATTACAGCTTTTGCTGATATTCACTATTCATCTTAAGTTATGAATTAGCTCTGATATGGCTTGAAATGATGATTTATTTTTCCAATAGAGGATTCATAATTTCAGCATTGAAAGCAGATACAAAATGAGAACACAAGAATATTGAATAATTTTCATTTACTTTGTATATGCAACCGTATAACAATACATACAGTATTTTTACTGAAACATTTTAATATATGAAAAATGCAACCTAATGACTTCCATGAACCTTTCTGGGTGATGACACAAACAAATCATTGAATCAGTTTGTAAACAATTCAAAGAAATCGACAGTTTGAATTGACTGAAGGAATCAAACTTACCAACTCTTAACGCTGTCTTTGCTGCTGAACACTCCATTGAAATGGCTCATGTTTTCACAGTGTCACTTAATTTTACATTGGCAACAAATCATATCTGGTTACATATGATTCAGTATATTGCCCAGTTGCACAATTTGAGCCAGTGTATAAAGAGTTGCATCCCCAAGCCAGTGTTTTCTACAGGTATAGCCTCTGTCTGTTTCTTATATCTTGTGGTCTGGTCTGATTCGGTTTGTCATCCCAGGTTTGATAGAAGATATCAAAGGTCGTCTAAAGCCCTTCTCTTCCATACTTCAGAGGACAGTGGCTATAGCTGCAGGAAAAACCCAGTCGTTTTTGTCAGGTGCGCTTTCTGTGCTGTAGATCAGACATTAACAAGACGTCATCCAGGAATCAAGTGTTATCTCACGCCTATTACACAGTTTTTTTTCTCTTTTTGTCTTTTTCTCCATATTTTGTGTTTTCTGTGCATGATTTGTTTGTGCGGTGTTGTGAAGGACAAGTTTTGTTAGGGTTCATGAAGTGAAATTGTGCTTGCGACAACAGTCCCTTCCCCTTCGAGACCCATTTCATTCCATTTTAGACATGCAAATTTAAAACCTGTCTGAGTGTGTACGTAAATGCAACCAATTGTGGTTTTCTTTTCAAATGATTTTCATAATTTGATGGTTCCAAGTAGCGGTGCGAGTTGAATGAATCCCTGTAGTAGACCGCATGAGAGTCATTGTGATGATGGTTATCTTAAATGTGCATGTGTTGATTCTTTAGGAGAGCCCATGGACTCTGCGCATGAAGCAGGTGTTCAACCACCTCGTCAAGACCCTCTGAAAATAGACCATAGTGAAGTACAGGATATCAGCACCAGCCCAGACACAGACACCACCAACTCAACTGCACCAACAACGCCCAGAGAAGACGCAACGCCCGCCCCAGCAGAGAAAACTCCTAATGTTACACCCAAATCCGGTCAGTCTCATAGAATGTGCATCTTTAACATGTCAGTATTTATACGATGAGATTTTTTAGTTACAGTTATTTGATAGATTCAGCCAGTGAGTCATTGGACTGATTCACCAATAACTAATATGTTTGAGACAGATTTTTGAGTGTTTTTGACCAATTTATTAAAAAGAATTGGTTCATCAGAGTAAATTAGATGTGAATCACAATGGAAATGCATTACTGTTGTGTGCAACCAATGAGGACATCACAACAGAAAGATGGGTTGTGTTGATAGTTTATATTATTTTGCTGTTCCCACACTCTAAAAGATGCTGGGTTAAAAATAACAATTTCTGAGTAAATCAAAGGGTGTGTCTCAATCAGCTCACTAGTTCAGTAGTCAGGGCACTGATAAGGGAGTCTGCCATTTTAAGGGAGATTCACGAGCTCTGGAGCTGATTGAGACACACCCAAAGTTCCTTGAAGACAAGTCATTTCACTTGGAGGCCGTCTTTGAAATGCCTCTCGGGCATGCAAGTGCAGCTCCTATCTTTCTGAATGATGGTAAGGGTGTGTCTCAATCAGCTCACTAGTTCAGTAGTCAGGGCACTGATAAGGGAGTCTGCCATTTTAAGGGAGATTCACGAGCTCTGGAGCTGATTGAGACACACCTCATGCAATGCAAGTGCAGCTCCTATCTTTCTGAATGAGGAAACATCAAATTCCCTAAAACTGTTCACCAATTAAATCTTACAACAACTGCCTCATAAATGTTGTTTATTTTTTTAGGCTTGACCGGCCAATGCGCATGTGCAGTCCTAGGGTGCGTCTCAGAACGCTGACTTACTGACTTTATCAACTGGCGATTGGCTTTTTTATTGAGAAGGTGGGACTATTCCACCATATTGCGCATTACACTTTCTCCAATTCATATGTAAAAGGAGTGCACCATCTTTGGTATATCTAAAGTCTTTGAGACGTGCATTCGTTTGGCGGGAGGTGAAACTTCCATGGTGGCACCGGAGTGGCGCTCGCTTTTAGTGTAGATCCAGTGTAGGCTAGCATTCCAAGCAGACGTTAGCTGCGACGCACATGTAAACAAAATGTTAGGTTACAATCGTTTTCCTATTTATACAGTAATAATTTGACAGGAATACAATGTAATGCAAACTTTAATTTCATTCAGGAAGTTTCCCGTCACTCAGTCAAGTTTTCTCTCAGAACAGAACACATGACTGTTGACAAATGTATCCAGTTTTACTGGTTTGGCACAGGTTACCCAACATTGGGTTACACTGACGGTTTGCTCTTCAATAGCGCGGTATTGCGGTTATCGCGACAGCCCTAACTGACTCAGCGCTGGGTAGGTGTGTGAGGGGGTTCATCATTGGTATTGACAGTGTAAATGCAGCTAAATTACAGAAAAACTACCCAGCACCTGGGTAAAAATATAAAAAATAACCCCAAAATAACCCAAGAATTTAGATAAAAAAATTACCCAGAATATTTTAGAGTGCATTATGTCTTTCTCATCACATTTAGTTCAGACTGCAAACTCAAAGATTCCTGCATGCTGAAGATTTTTAGCCTTGGTGTTGTAGAATCAGTTGCAGCAATGGAAACATTGACAGAAAATTGTAGCACATTGATCTGTACATCGATTCAGAGGCTAAAGAACCATCAAGGCAGTGGTTCTTAAATCTTTTTGACTAAGGCCCCCCATTATCCACAACAGTATTTGAAGACCCAAAGACTTCCAGTTGTGTTGTGGACAATGGGGGGCCTTAGAGTATCTAAGTAGATAAGAGTATTTTATCTACTTGATAAAATGTTATAGAGCTTGATTTCATTTGTATATTCATGATAAAATGCCCTTGGAGTCATAAGATTATTATAAGGTCTAGAAATCACACTGAAATTGAGACTTCATAATTTATCCAGCTTTTTCTAGACAGGTGGAACTCTGATTCTTCAAAGGAAAAACAGCTGGTGAGGGGGTGAATTAAAATGAGAAATATATTTATTAATAGTTGTGCTTATTTTAATGCTTGTTTTGTTTTATTTAAAATCATTTAAGGCCCTGTCCACACGAACGCGGTTATTTTTAAAACCGCAGCTTTTTCTACGCGGTTTGGCCGTTCGTCCACACGCAAACGCAGCACCAGGTTACTGAAACCGAACATTTTTGAAAACGCCTGCCAGGGTGAAGATTTTCAAAAACTCCGGTTGCAGTGTTATGTAGACAGCGAAACCTTTTTTTTTGACTTGCGCTGTTATCTCTGCCTACTGGAAACTTTTTGAGGCTTCTGATTGGCCAACATGGCTTTACTGTTGAGATTATATCACCTGTTGGTTTGGCGTGCTTCATTACATGCGTTTGCGTTTTCATGTGGACGGAGTTTTTTTTACAAACGGATGAAGGAAAAACTCAATTTTTTAAAATACCCGTGTACGTGTGAACATGGCCTAAGTCAGTGGTTCTCAAATCCAGTCCTCGCTTACGGCTCTGCATATTTTGCATGTCTCTCTTATTTAACACACCTGATTCAGATCACCAGCTAACAGAGCTCCATGTATGAACTGTATTCCGATTGACGGGGTCCCCTCACAGTGTTCTTTGCTCCCTACTCCTTGAGCACAGGAAACCCTTTGAAGTTTACTTCACTTCAGAACATTCATTCATGGATTTGCACTACGCCATGGCCTGCAGTGTCTTCACACACAGACGAAACTCACTAGAGAAGTGTGAAGTGGGACATAATATACCTCTGTAAATAAATACTATTTAAATTCACATCTCGTGCACTTTAATGTCCTTTGAATGGAACACGTACGCTCCCTTCAAACTGGAATCATGGCGGAATATCCTGTGATATCCACTTCGCAGGGCTCTTATGGTCAAATAGAACAAACGTCTACAGTAATAAGAGATACATACAAAATGTGCAGAGTGGTGGTACGCGAGGACTGGAATTGAGAACCACTGATTGAAGTCATTTTGAGGCCTCCTTGGAAGTTTGCTAAGGCGCCTAGGTGGGCACCAGCTCCCTGGTGAGATCCAGTGTATTGAGGCAGCCTAATGTTATTAAAATCATCTGTGTCTTAAAATTGAACCAGTTTTGAATAAGAACCAGTTGTCAATTCCTAACCGGACTGGTAACTGCAAGATGTTCCTCGGAGAAACACTAGATGGCAGCATGTGTTCAGAGATAAATGTGGCATCTGATTTTTTTTTTCACATCCAGTCACATCATATCACTTTCCACGTCAAACAAAATTTCACTCTTTAGCTAAATGAAATTTCGATAGAAAATGTTTTCAGCTTTATCAAAAGTATCTAATGTGAGTCAACACCTTGCTTTCCTTTATAGTGCTTTGAGCCCAAACATATAATCGCCGCTGCCTGCAGCGTCTTCACACACAAACGAAACTTACTAGAGAAGTGTGAAGTGGGACATAATATACCTCTGTAAATAAATACTATTTAAATTCACATCTCGTGCACTTTAATGTCCTTTGAATGGAACACGTACGCTCCCTTCAAACTGGAATCATGGCGGAATATCCTGTGATATCCACTTCGCAGGGCTCTTATGGTCAAATAGAACAAACGTCTACAGTAATAAGAGATACATACAAAATGTGCAGAGTGGTGGTACGCGAGGACTGGAATTGAGAACCACTGATTGAAGTCATTTTGAGGCCTCCTTGGAAGTTTGCTAAGGCGCCTAGGTGGGCACCAGCGCCCTGGTGAGATCCAGTGTATTGAGGCAGCCTAATGTTATTAAAATCATCTGTGTCTTAAAATTGAACCAGTTTTGAATAAGAACCAGTTGTCAATTCCTAACCGGACTGGTAACTGGAAGATGTTCCTCGGAGAAACACTAGATGGCAGCATGTGTTCAGAGATAAATGTGGCATCTGATTTTTTTTTTTTCACATCCAGTCACATCATATCACTTTCCACGTCAAACAAAATTTCACTCTTTAGCTAAATGAAATTTCGATAGAAAATGTTTTCAGCTTTATCAAAAGTATCTAATGTGAGTCAACACCTTGCTTTCCTTTATAGTGCTTTGAGCCCAAACATATAATAAATTCCCTGTAGACTTGAGGCACAAGGACCATACATCTCTGAATATGAAGTATAGACAAATTAAAAGTCCCATACATCTACAGGCCCCTGGAATGAGCACCCCTATAGAACGGTATGGAAATGGGAAGGATTTATAGAGGCTAACAAAAGGAGGAGAAAACTCTCTCTCTCTCTCCATCTCCAAACGGAAACCCCTTGGTGACAAATTTATCGCAGCTTGCTTTATGACCATCTTTACGTCTGAGTTATGTCTGTTGTTAGCATTGACGCAGACGGAGCTAAATGACTGATTTCACACAGGAGGTTAGCGCTGTGGTTAGAAACAACAGAATCTGTGAATGGTTTCTCTGGACATTTGAGCTGAATGTAATGGAGCAAGTACATGTGAACAGGTTTAGACCTTCACTCATAATTCATGTTAATGAAAAACAAAGAAAGAGCAATTAAAACTAGATTTTTTTTACGACCCTGCCAAAATCCTCAGACTGTTCAGGGCAATATGAAGTGGTTGCTTATGTGTTTTCAGCAGTTTCTAGAGCGTTGATAGCTGGTTTGTAGGGTGTTTTAGGTGATTGCTATGGTGCTAGTGAGGGGTTGCTTAGGTCTTTAAAGGGGCTTCTATTAAGTGTGTAAAAGTAAAAGCACAAGACACGTGATTTGAGGAAGCATTTATACACTATATACACTAAGTTCATCAAGGCTGCATTCATTTGTTAAAAAAACAGTAAAATTAATAATATCCTGAAATATTTAAAACAACAATTTAATATTGGCTAACTGTTTTATTCCTGATGTAAAGCTGAATTTTCAGCATCATTACTCCAGTCTTCAGTGTCACATGATCTTTCAGAGATTATTCTAATATGCTGATTTGCCGATCAAGAAACATTTCTGATTATTATCAATGTTGAAAACAGTTGTGCTGCTT